ATTTCTTTCAGTTATGAATCTATACTCTTGATAGAAATGACTGATGTGGATTGTTGTCAATGATAATGCAAGTTTTAGTGACACAACTTTAGAGCTTTGGAAAGTGAGGACATGTGTGCATACCTTCGTAGGGAATACGAGTTCATTTTCTTGGATGTCTGTGTGACTATTTCTTTTGAATATATTTTAGTGCATACGATAGTTTTTATTTAATTGGGGAGGAGGGGGTAGAAATATGGTTTGTTCTTTACTGTAATTGGCCTACTAGTCATCATTTAAGGTCTTTGACCCCTCTGTGACACAACTCTACACATACATTTGAAGAGCATGCACGTTGGCTTCTGGCATGTCTACATGACTGTTCCTTTTTAATATCTTTAAGTATATGTTTTAGTTTGTATTTTCAAATATTAATAATGTGTTTTCTTAATAATTGTGGTGGTCGTTTGAAAATTTTCGCTGGTAGTAAAGAACTTAATTTAATTATCTTATTGTAGATGATTTTTAAATTTACTAGTTATGAAAAACGGATACTTATACTAGTTTTCAAACTCCAATTGACTTGGGCGCAGAAATGGACGTGTCTTGGTGGCATCTTGCACCACTTCACCCCAATGAATTCAAGGCAATGTAGCTAAAGACTTTGGACTGGGACTTGCTATTAAGAAGAGTCTAATTGCAATGACACTGGCGTTGATGTAGACTTTGACTGGGACTGATATCAAGTTCAAGCTCTAGTATAAGTTATTGACCCAAAAACAAGTCCAGTGGCAATATCTTAGATGATGATAATGTTGCAATAGCTGGGCTAGACCTTCCTCAACATATTTTTTGTTCTAAGCAATTGGACATTGAAGAACCTGAAGGAAGATGGTGCTAGTTTCAATATAGATTGTGCTTTTACTACGAAAGTATTTCCTTGTATAACTATGAATTTTAGATGACGCACAGAAGATTGAAAGTAGCGGCAATAAGTTGGTGTTTGAAGAGTGTAAAACTACTGCAGACAAATGTAGACTTACAAAGTTGTTTTAAGCAACAGAAATGTTGAGACGAGTTTAAGTTTTTCTAAAGTGAAAGGAAAATGATGCAGAACAAGATTTTGTATATCTTATAGATGGTGTATCCAGTGCATGAGGTTCTCGCCATTGCAAGGTTTGAAGAGAGTTATATATATTCAGTCTAAATTTTGTAAGCAAAGATATTATTTGCGGACTCAAACCTGTGATCCAGGTCACAATGAAGCAACCTTATTGTTACGTCAATATTTAATATATCATATAATATTGTTTATTATTATTATTATTATTATTACAGATTATTTTGTTAGAATAGGAATATAGTTATAAAAATTAGGATCTTAAGCTCATACAATTGCAAATTGATCCATGTCTCATGCTAATTTATAGGATGGTGATCCAGATCTTTTAGATCCTGATCTGAATAGCAATTTTACCAAACCAAATAATTGGACTCGTTGGTGAGATGCATTTTGTTATTGGGCTACCCAATTCACATTTATTATTTCAAATTTTCAGCTGGGACCTTGCCCTAATTCCCCCACACTCTCAGTCCAAGGCAAAGCTCGGTCTTAGCAAGCAGGTAAAGCTTGGTCTCTCTATCACTCACTCGCTGGCTCACACACTCACTCACCCACCCACCCACACAGACACGCACACACAATCAATCACGACCAGTTGCTGTGATTTTATCTTGTTTGTGATTTTGATGCAGCAAAATTCTCAGATCTGCTGTAATTTGCAATTTTAAGTGAGAATCAACACCTTTTGATGTATTTCCAACAATAAGATAACAAGAAAAAGATGAAACAAGAGTATATGAATTTCTAGGGCAAGAAACCCAAGGAAGACTGAGTCTAAATTTTCTGTAATAAGAATTATAAACAACTGCTACAAAGACTCATAAATGCAAATAGTCTAAAGTGATAGTGGGAATTTGCATACATGCAAAGTGTCTAAAGTGAGTTAACAAGCTTGTATATATAAAAATTATATCAAGATCGTTTTTTATTACTTTTTGGTTGTCGGGTTGGTGGGAGTAAGGGGATTTAGTTTTTTTAGGCCACAGAATCATCCTAATCACTTATTTCTTTGTCAATGTCGCTGAAACAGGCATTTTGCACACCTGCTAGTCCGAGTGAAAAGAATAGCATAGTACCTAAAACTAGTTTGCTACAAACATCCAAGATAATCGAAAATACATTACCACTGACCCTGAAAGCCATGTACTCAAGCTACACACCCAACAACTGCCATGCTATTGATTCAAACAACAATTAAACAAGAGGTTGGTAGATTCCATAAGCTATTAATCTGACAGGCAATAAATGAGGCTAAACTTCAAGTTAATAACTTGTTAAACAATCTACTTTGAGAACCATTACCATTTTTCAATCATATTTTGGTTGTTCAGGAACTCAAAAACCATGAATAAATTGAATTTTATATTCTAATTTCCCAGCACACAAGCATGACACTGCGGCGAACTTCAGTTACCATTATTTGTCATTAAATAAGATATTCATACAAACCAAGGTTTGCTTAAAGAGATTCCCATCAATAGTGAGACAAAGTAGAGAAATGCATTGTTCTTTCTTTATTCTCTTACAACTGACTTAAAGAACTCATATCCCTTAATCCTATTGAATAGGGGAAAGATAGTCTGTAGAATCTTGTTGAATAGGGGAAACTTTATTAATCACCCCCTTTTTGAAAAACTCCTCAGACACCCTCATCAAATCTTCCTTTATTTCATCCCAACAAACCTAATACATTGCCATGGTGAATCCATCCGGATCTGGTGCCTTTTTTCTACTACAGTCAAAAATAGCTCTCCTCACGTTCTCCATCTGAACAGGCCTTTCCATCCACTCTGCAACCCTTTCATCTATAAGACTCCATTCAGGACCCCTTAACTTAAATCTAGCACCCTCTTGATCTGATCCGAATAAAGCTTCTCAAAAAACCTAATAATTTCCCTCTCAATACTACCATCATCCTCAATTACCGACCCATCGTCAGGCTCCATTCCTCATTCTGTTTCCATTCGCCGCCTTATAAAAAAATTTAGTATTATCTCTTTCTTTTACCCACTAAGCTCTCGCCTCTCTTTTTAACGCTTCTTCGAAACCCCCTCCTCCTTCAACCTTATTCGCCTCATCAATCCTATCCAAAATAATTCTTTTTGCTTCTCGAATGTCCCAACATACCTCTTTATTCCACTCTCTAATCTATGTTTTATTATCTCAAGTTTGTTCATAAATCAAAATTCTTGTCACCCCAGTACCCTTTCCTCTCCCCACCATTATCTTATTCTTTCCTTCAACTCTCTATGTTCCACCCACATATTCTCATACCTAAACAATCAAGGACCCCATTTAAACTACAATGCCTTCTGTCTCATCCCACGAAAACAATCTTCCCACCCTAGAGACTATAAAAATCTATCCAACTTTTTACACAGCTTAACTGTCCTACCATTAGATCATGTAAACACTCCATTTGCGAAAGGGGGACCTAACAAAAGAAGTAAACATGAAGTGTTGCAAAAGACTGGGATAGGAAGCAAAACTGAATGTACCGGATTTTTAGCACATACAACCATCAAACCAAAGACCAAAGCAGGGCTCGACAAAATAGAAAGTATCATAGGACGTTGTCCTTCCTTGAAAATGGAACTTTCATGCTGGAGCAAGAAGTAGCATCCCTAAGCTTGGTTTCCCTAATAAAAGAATCAAAATCTTTCAATATTTTTTGTTGTTCTCCCCCCCATTCATCCTCTCCCTTGGATACCTTGTAACATTAAAATATCCCCCTATACACCATCTATGACCACACACCCCATATAGCCCTACTAATTTTTCCCACAATGAGACCCTAATCCTAGGCTTGTTAGGCCCATAAATACCAGTAAACCACCAGCCATAGACCTCCCTGCTTAACTCTAATTGAAACAGTAAATTCCCACTCAAGAGTTTCTTCCATGCTTATAGATCTCTTGTCCCGAATGATGACAATACCACGTGTACTCCGACAAAAAATAGAAAAACCCAGTTCTAGAACCTAGACCACAAACACTACTAAAGACTCTTATCAATGACCTCCAACTTTGTTTCTTGTAAAGTAACTATATTTGTCCCAATTCTTCCCAAAAACTCCTCTATTGAAAACCTTTTCGCACATGACCCTAATCCTATGGCATTCCAACTTAACAGTCTTTATAAGAAACTATATAGATCCCTCCCCCACCTTTCTTACAACTATCACCCTCATAATTTATCCCTAACTCTAAATTTTTTAACTCTCCCACTCCCTTTCTCTTCCTCTCATTTCTGCATTCATTTTTTTGCTTCCCTTGTTTTTTTTATGGAACTAGAGACAAATCCATTTTATATAAAAAATTCTTTAACACAACCCATTTTTCCTCGTCCGACAAAACACATTCATTATATTAGCCCTACATCTGTCATCTATTCCCTCTCTATTCCTTTCACCCTTAAAGCTCATTATTTCCCCCAGTTGTCACGGCATCAGAGTTCACCCTCAAAGCTCAGTACATTATTTTTTTTGCTCCCCCCCCCCTTTTTTTGATGGAACTAGAGACAAATCCATTTTATATAAAAAATTCTTTAAAACAACCCATTTTCCCTCATCCGACAAAACACATTCATTATTATCCCTATCTCCTTCCTCGATTCCCTCTGTACTCTGTACTCCTTTCACCCTCAAAGCTCACTATAGCTCTAGTTGTCACTACATCAGAGTTCATTGGACCAACATTAATTATGGGATATCTATCATCAATTTTGAATATATTGGATCACAGGTAGTAATAAGTGGAACACCTAATAAACCAGGTTCACACAGACACCGCAAATGTCTATTCTCCCCATGGACCTGAATTAGCTACATCACAGTTTGTGGAAACCAATTCTTTCCTATACCCATACTTCACTGAAGATAACATCGCCATTTTCTCACTTAATTCCATGTCATTCCAGCAACACAATCAGACCCAGAACCAATACGGATATTGACACTCCCACCCTTGAAAAATTAAAATCACCAAAATGAACACCGACATTGACACGCCCGTCCCCAGAAAAAAGAACAACCCTAGGAGAAACCATCAGTGGTTTTTTTTGGGAAATATTACCTTCTAAAGTACAAGGAAAAGCATTGCAAATTACCTTAGATTCGTGATGGAGTATCATATTACCTTCTTCTTGAACAGATATCAACTTATCATCGGTAAATATTCTCGCAATATCACCATATACCTCATCAGTCTGTATTTTTCTCTCGTTATCAATATCACAGCAATATAATGAATCCTCCAAACTCTTCTCCAACTCAGCATTGTCATACCACTCTCTCGCAGCAAGCATAGCATCGCTGCAATATTTGTAACCAAACCAAACCAATCCAAGACTTATGTCCCAATCATTTTAGGTCGGCTATATGAGTTTGTCTTCGCCATTCATTTCTATCATGTGCTATACACTCATTTAAGTTAAATATTTTTTTATTATTTTTTTCAATGTTAATTTAGAATTATCCTTACTTTTAGTACTATTAAGAGAAATTCTATAACTTTTTCGAACCAGTGCCTGAGCTACTCCTACCATTTATCTAATAGGATTATTTCGTATTCTATGCTTTCTAGTTTTTTCACACATCTACCATAACATTCTCATTTTCGCTACTCATTTTGTCACTATGTTGTTTTCCAGTAACCCAATATTTTGTCCCATACAACATTGCTATCCTTATAGTTGTTAGATAAAACTTACCTTTCAATTTTATTGGTATCTTTCTATCACCTAATATGCCTGAGGTTTTTCTCCACTTAAGCCAACTGGCGTTAATTCTATGAGTTACATCATCTCCAATCTCTTCATCATTTTTAATGATCAATCCTAGAATATTTAAATCGTTTATTCATTGGTATTTCTTGATTTTCAATCTTAACTTTTTCACTATGTCTACTTCTTCTATTATTAAAATTGCATTGCATATATTCAGTTTTACTCATACTTATTTTAAACCCTTTAGACTCGAATATCTCTCTCCAAATTTTTAGCTTATTGTTAATCCCCCTTCGAGTTTCATCTACTAATACAATATCATCTGTAAATACTATATGTCGTGGGACATCATCTTGAATGGGCCTAGTGAGGTAGGTATGGACTTAGGGTCAATCCTTGGTGTAATCCCACGGTGATTGAAAATTCTTTACCTTCTCTTACAGAAGATCTAATTGTAGTTATAACTCCGTCATACATATCCTTTATCACCTCAATATATCTATTCATCACTCTTTTTCTCTCAAGCACTCTACGTATTATATTTCTAGATACTTTAGCATACACCTTTTCTAAATCTATAAATACCATATGGAGAATTTTCTTCTTCTCTCTATATTTTTCTATGAGTGTCCTCAATAAATATATAGCTTCTGTAATTGATCTATTAGGCATAAACCCAAACTGATTTTCCGAGACTGTAGTCTCAACTCTTAGGCGACGTTCAATGACCATTTTTCATAGTTTCATTGTATGACTTATCAATTTTATCCCTCTATATTTATTACAATTTTGAATATCTCTTTTATTTTTATAGATAGGTACTAAAATACTCTTTCTCCATTCATTTGGCATTTTTTTAGTACCAATAATTCTATTGAATAATTTCGTTAGCCAGAACACCCCATCATTCCCTAACCACTTCCAAACTTCAATTGGAATCTCATCTGGTCCTAAAGCCTTGCCTAATTTCATTTTCTTCAATGCAAATTCTACCTCCGAATTCTTTATCTTACAAAAGAATGTTTCATGAATCCTACCATTTTCTATTTCTTCTAAGTTTCCTAAGTGATTTTTATTTAACAGTTTCTTCAAATAGCTTTTCGCCTTTGAGTCTTCACCATTGATGCACTTAACTTGGTTAAAGTCTTTTATTTTCTTTTCTCTAATTTTAGCTTGTTTATAAATGTCTTTTGATCCCTCTTTACTATCTAATTTTTTTGTACAATTCATCGTAAGCTTTTAAACTTAGCATATCGAACTATCTTTTTTACTTCCTTATTTGCTAATTTATATCTTTAGAAGTTCTTGCAGCAAACTTCTTCATCTTCTGAAAGCAAATGTATGTGTCTCTGTCCATCCATAATGTCGAAACGGACTTCAAAATCTTCCCTCTAGCTTTGCCAACCATCGCAGATCTCCTCTCCGACTATAGCCCCTTTTTCACTACTTCCTTTGCCCCTTGTCAACTCTGCCTTGGCTAAGGAGATCCTATCAGAAGCTCCAATCCCCCCTTTGCTCGACGATTAGCTTCAGCAACCTTAATCATCAGTTTTCGACTTTGAGGAGAGCCTTTGTTTCGTCTATGGAGAGACCCCCCTTTGCCTGTGTGAGAAAGCCCTATCATTTGAGCTCTCCCCAACAAACAAACGTTTGTGGACCAGGCCTCTACAATTCTGTAAAACCCTCTTAAATTAAAACGGCCCACCTTACCAAGCCCATTAGTAAAAACATTTGTTTCCATCCCATTTGTTTCTTTATCTCAGCCCACCTTTCTTCCTTAACAAAACCCTTCGTGATCCATCTCCTCTGCCTTATCCTTAATTAACTCAGATTTTGAATTCAAATTACATTCCATATTTGAATTATCCTTGTCAAATATTTTCTGTTGGAAATCAGCAAGATTAATGGCACTGATCCAGTCATCAGAATTTTTTTCAATCAAACCAAATCTTTGCATTTATTGTGGCCTTGTCTTTCTCCTATTGACACGTAATCCCCCTTTGTTTGCAGCTCATTTTTGGCTGATTTATTTTCCAATATGCTAGTTTCAACAACTCTCATCTTCAACCTTTCACCCAATGCACAAAATCTCCGTACTACCTTCGCCTTGTAGTATTCCTTTCTCCTTTTGACTGAACATTCTTGTTTTCTTCAACATTCGTAGAAAAAAAATGTCTTTGTCTACTTGGAAAGGCTGTAGATGAATCTTTATTTTTAAAGCCTGTACTAAGCATGCCTGGGAGTACACAAATGAACTTGCTTTAACACATACCACAACTCACCTCCATTTAACCTCTTCTTTAAGCATATTTTCATACCCCTTAACATTTGCAGGAGTATTTTCCTTATGCATCTCAGCCCATGCCCCATTTTCTTGCTCTTTGACTCTACATTTTGATACCACCATCAAACTTTGATTTTCTTCTTCTTGTATCAGAGTATTCCTTCCACCTGAAAGAGCATCCTCCATTAATCCTCTAAACCCTTTCCATCCAATGCCTTGGGAGCCTTGGGGAATAATCAAACCCTTTCTTTTACCATTATTCATCATTTGTGTAATCCTGGCAAACTCCCCAAACCTGCTATTTTCCAATTCCATCCACATACAATATTCATCCCTCCTAAACTTTCTAAGGAAAATATCTTGTTGATTCCTGGATAAAGCTTTAGAAAACATCTCCTTCAACCATCTCACACAACTTCTATTCACTAAGCATGAGAAATATCCAAACCGATTCCATTCCGTTATGCGAATAAGTTCACCATGCAAACCTTCAAACTTGACTTTAAAATGCTTATGATCAATCGTAATCTCGATCCTCTTTCTTTCTTGATTCTCACAATTTCAACAATGTTGGTTGTGGATTATAAAGGTTTTGGAAAGGGAAGTAAAGGAAGTACTCTTTGGGGATGTGCTTTCTATGCAATAATTTGGGTGATTTGGTTGGGGAGAAATTCAAGAATCTTTGAAGATAAGTATGAAAAGTTTGATGGGGTTTGGAACCGAATTCACTCTTTTGCAACTCTTTTTTGTGCTTTGGTTTCAAAGGAATTTGCAAATATTCCGCCTTTTGAAATCTTGGTGAACTGGAAGGTGGCTTGTGATTGATTAGCTTGTTTTCTTGTTTTGATTTTTTTTTTACCTTTTTATGTACTGCTTTTCGATGGTTTGTATTTAGGTTGGACTACTTACCCATCTCTGCTCTTCATTTTTTTACTTTTAATAAGATGGTGTTTTCTATAAAAATGAAGAGGAGGGGATTTTACATTTTTGCTTTGCTAATGATATAACAAAACTTCTCAAGATTTTCCATAACACAATCGATATTGCTCCAAGCCCCCACCAGCTCTAGTTGCAAACACAACAGTCCAGCCCCTCAGCCAAACCACGTCAGCCTACTGCCTCCCCCTTCCTCGGGGGGTGGGCAACATATCAAACATAGCCTACCCCATGCAACCATTACCCTCAAATTCACCATGTGCATGAATGTATCGGAACTTACCCTCAACGAACATATGGGAGCAACATTGCTATAATGTCATAGCAACGCACGTCACACACAGTAGGGTTCCATTCTGGTTTGTCTCTCTTCCCTGCTATATAATATACCATGCATGAATAGTCAGAAAGGTTGGAGATATGTGAATATGGAGAGAGAGACGTGAATGAGTGGAAAGTTGAACAGTCGGAAACCTGGAGGTTACATGAGAAGTGGGAGTTATTAGTTAGTTTAAATATAGACTTGTCCTTATCTTGAGAAAAAACGATTAAATGACGTAAAAAAGGGTGGAAGGACCAATCATAAGAAGCCAAGTAAGCATTTTCATGGCTAAAAAACTCAAAAATTCAAAAATTTGGAATGAAAGATTGGAGACTTCTCAACACTACTACATTTAAATAGAATATAGAGATTCAGTTAATAGAAACCATGTTACTTACCGGGAAAAAAATACTGCATATCATTTTTACTTGCCAAAAGTTTACTTGTTATGTTTTGAAGTAAAATGTATTGATTTCTTTTGCAGAACCATTCTGGGTATGTGGCAAAATATACTTGCTAAAAGGGCTGCTCTTACTCCAAGCCAAACCAAGGACTTGATGAAGAGCATGGTGGAAATCCCAGTGAGGAGAAAATTTTCTGTGCGAGCAATTGTTGTTGCCCTCGCACTCTTTGGACATGGATATGGTGGGGCACAACTCCTGCGAGAATTTTTGCCTGGGCATTCTTCCCTTGCTTCTAAGGAGAGAATTTTGAAGGGACTCGACTAGCTCAAAACCTGAAACAAGGATTCTGTGGAGCTTGCGTTACATAAGGAAGCTGAAAAGCAAGTCAATGCTTGCACATTAACAGCTTTAGGTAAACTCAAAACTGAGATAAACACACCGAGAAGTGTGCTGATGGACAAGTCAACAGATCTGCTAGATGTGTACGAGGGAATGGCGAAACTTAGGAAGCAAATTCTGGATATGGAAGCTGAAGAGGATAAAAGCTGAAAATATCTTTGTTGTTTCTTTTGAACTACTATAATTTCAGTATAATGCAAACATGCTTTGGAAAATTCTATCTTTTTGATATGTACTTTTACTAATCTCTTTTTGAAAGTTTTGGATGATCTGATGTGAATATGCCCAATTTGGGGTTGTAAGATACAAGAGCGTGGAATGCATAGGACAACTTTGATCGTGGTAATTGTGTTTCTATACAACAAGAACTACATTATTTATTAAACTCCTACCGTAGAGGTGGGTCTAGTGACAAACCATTGCGACACAGAGACATGGGGAGCCAGACATTTGTTTGTCTCCAACTGCTCTCTAACGCTGTCAATGTAATGAGAAGTTCAAGGGGGATAAATCAGAAAATAATGCTGGAATTAATCAAAAGCACTACCAAACATGTTTTTCATATGCCCATTCACTTCAGTGCACTCAATTTGCTACAATTCTGACTTACGTTTAAATGGACATCCACTTGACTATTCCTTCACTGAAACATCATACATAGCATGAGAAATTGAACTATGTAAACATAACTCAAATTGGAAAGTGAAGATGCCACTCTTTCCTCTAGAAAGAATGTTTGCTCTTGGTGAAACCATGTAAAAAAATAAGTTGTAGCATCCTATCTGATATTGGACCAACATATTAGATAGGATGCCACACATTTTGAAACTAGGATGACAATCGTGTTCGTTTTTATCCGTATAACCTGTGAATAAAAAATTTCATTATATCTTAAATTTCATTATCATTTTATCGTACCTATGCTTATATTTTTTTTAATAAATTAAAAATTAACTTAATAAATATAATAATAAAAATCCATAAACGTATCTTTTTTTGCATAAAAATTAGTTCACTACTTAATAAAAAGTTTATTTTATTCTTATAATAATACTTAAACGTGTTAATCGTGTCAGTTTCGCGTTGTTCGTATTTGACATTATTCAAACCCATTTATTATTCGCGTTAACGGGTTGTGTCATATGTGGGTTCGTATCAAGAAATGATCAATCCTAACCTACTAATGTCATGTCGATTTCAAGTCATGTTTTCATGGAAGTGTTAGAAATTACCACTCTTATTTGAAACACAGGCATATTTCTTATTGCAGCAAATTCTTCACCGGCTTCCTTCTCCACGTTAAATGTTCTTGCCATGGTTTCATATGCCCGATACACATTTGAAAGCCTTTCCGTCTCTTATTACTTGGGGTTGAGATAACAATAGGTGAAGGCTTAGCAATTTGTGGTTCTTAGACACTCAAAATAAGAACAAATAAAGACATCGTGAATAAAGGATGATGATGCACAAAACAGTCTCGTGCAAGATCAATAGTCGAGTGTGTGATAAGGTGTAATTAATAGATAATTAATAAAGCAATAAATGGCAAAAAGGTAAATACCGAGTCAACACGTAGATATATAGTGGTTCAATCCAGATGACCTACTCCACTTCGAGAAACGGTTACGATGGCCGGTGAACCTTTATTGATGGAATAAAGTAAGAGAGAGGGAGAGACAAGGCTAGTTCTAGGAGTGGTACAATAACTAGCAGAGAGAAAGTGTGTACAGAGGTGTGGTGAGATCACTGTGTCCTCTCATATAGAGAGAACTTACAATTTATAGGCACAGAGCTTAAGTTGAAGCAGTGACATGAGGGTGAAGATACTAGATCTTCAGGAAGGATAGCTACAAAAGGTAAGTATAATTAAGGTAGCCTTAATCCTTGAGGGTGTATATGCCGATGATTTCTATTCACGTGCTCTAATTCTTCTAGGACTCTTCAGACCTTGGGTTGGATCGAATTCACGAATTGTGCTCGACATGTCTTTTAACTGATTTGGGCTAATTTGATTTATTGGGTCTGACCCGATTAGATTTGGGCTCATAATTTGCCCCCTCAAGCCCTAGTAGTGATTTGCGATTGAGGGCATGAGCGACCTCTTCATCTAGGCAGACCAAATACCTTACTCTCCATGGTGTCTCTTTTAGCTTTTCATCATTTTTCATTCATGAAGCCTCTTTTCTCATTCGATAACTCCATTGTTGGGCAGCCATTGTAATGGTATCAAATTTCATCTTTCGGGTTTCCCTTAGACCCAGTAGCCAAAGAACCCCTTTCTCATTCAAGGGATGGCCTTTGTGATCAGTATATATGTAGCCTATTGAGTGAATATCCATTTCTCCACCTTTTAATTATTCCCCTTTTCTCATAGCTAAGCAACCTTTCCATTCATAGATTGCAGGGAGCTTCAAAGGAAGATAGAGATGGAGATCTTGTCGACGAGTAAGGCAGTCAAGGGGATCGTAGACAGAATCAGGTGCTTAGGCTAATTCGGTGAAGCCCTGGGCAACACCTCGACAAATCCAGGCGATGCCATGGCGAAGCCAAGGGCGAAGCTCAAGGATCCTTATGGCAGCTCCAGAGGAGGCAACGAAGGCGACGCCTAGCATGCCCTAGGTAACCCCCATGGGGGTGGAGAGGCTGGCGGCGCCCATGGCACGTCTGGAGGCTACTTCGGCAAAGGAGGTGAACAGCACGTGGGAGGTGGTCACGCCGACTAGGCGCTGGGTTAGGCGACACCAATCACAGGCGACGACGAAAAAGGTTGGCAGGTGACTCTCATGGCATAGAAGGGTCTGTTGGCGACGCCTTGTAGGTGCAAGGACATAGGCGACAGTGGATTGGACGACGCCCTTGGCGGGCTGGGCAACGCCCCTAGGTAGTTGGGTGACGCCTGAGGTGCTGGGCAGCTGCTGAAGTGAGGTGGGATAGGAGCGAGCTAGGGCAGCGTGCAAGAGGCTGCTGGGTGATGTCAGCAGGCTGCTGGGCGATGCCAGGAGCAGTGCCAGGCTAGGCGATGCCTTGCAGGCGCTGGGCGTTGGCCGGAGTATCAGAAAACTATGAAAAATGGCAAAACTTTGCATGGTCGTAACTTTGCACTCGGTTATCCATTTGAGGCGAATTTTTTGTTGAATCTAGGTATTTTTTCGAGATCTATGACATGGTAATTGCCAAAGGCGATTTGGTCAAAAATATTTCCCAAAAACTGCTTCTATCTCTCTGAATTTGAGTTTTAAGCACAAATTAGTGAAACTGATAATGGTGGAAAGTTGCGTTCTGACAGACGACTGTCAGGCATTCATGGGTGACGGATTGACATTCTGGATTTTTACCAGGTAGAGATACTATGATGGCTTTCGACTAGGTAAGAGGCAAACCCGCTTTCTCCAATCTTGCTTTTTTCTTTATGTTTTCTGGATATTGGTTTATTATACTGACCTTGTCTCTAATTACAGGCGCCCTGCTGATAGGGCGATGGTGGAGGTTTTCTGTGACAACACGTATTAAAAAAATTTAATCGCTAACATGTAATTTAAGTAGTTAATTATGATCTTTTATAGTTAATGATCATTTTTAGAAATTTCAAATGAACAAATGAACCTCAAATATATTTTTTTTATGTGAAAACAAGTTAAATAAGTTTAACATAGGTCATATTTTGTATTAAAAATAAAATGTGTAATACATTACATCTAAAATATAAGTGAATACATATATAGAGATCACAATAGACATGTGGTCTATTAGAATTAAAAGAAAAAAAAAGAATGGCCAAACAATTGGACATGTGTCCATAAGATGCTTGGTCCCCAAGCAAGATTTTGTTATAAGTAGCCAAGCCAGGCTATTTGATCGGCACAAATAGAAGGAAAAAGAGAGAGAAGGGAAGAGAAGAGAGAAAGAAAGAGAGAGATAGATGGAATAGAAGAAAAAAAAATTATGAGATCTTGGGGTCAAAAATTGAGCAGTGATTTTATTTTAGATTGTTATCAAATTTGACTATTTGATTTGTGGTATTTCGAATTTCGCATCTATTGAAGTCATTGATGGATTTGAGGTACGGGGTAGTATACAATATGCTCCTATCTTTTAAATCTCTTTGCCAAAAGTGTCATTTTATTATTTGAAATTTTTGTATTCCTATTGATTATTTTGATTTGTATAAAATTCTGTCAATGTTATCGGTTGACCTGTACGTGTACGTTGGGCTAAATACCTTGGGATTGATTGGTACATGTACGAAATGTACTTTGGGGCATAATTAGTGAAATGTGATTATGACCCTGTAGGATGCGATTGTGATTACAGCCCTAAGGGGTGTAATGGTTCGATATGAGTATGAATTTTAAATGCCCAGGTGTCACTTGTCATGTCACCAAGAGGACCTGAGTATGAGGCTAGGTTTGATAGATATTGAGCTATGTGACTTATCGAATTGGATTCTTGATTCTTTTATCTATGATTGTCTATCGATTGAATTATTTGGAATTTGATCATTCATATTCTTTTTCTCGTTGAGCATATTGTTTCCTGTCATATTGTATACTTCCCGGCATTTTATATTTTTCAGGATTATCTTGAAGGGAAGGACCAGAGTTGATATTTGAAGAATCGAAGACAGACGAATGTTAATATAATTTTTAACTTTGTGGGTTTATTGGGGTGATGTATAATTTGAACAAATTTGTTTTTATATTGAGGAGATTATTTTATTGGTATTTGGAGATCAAAATTGTGATTATAAATTTATTGAGGCAATTAGAGCTCTAGTCCTATACTCGGATATTTATTTGTGGTTTATTATCGATCAATTGGTTTAATCAAGTAATGGGTCCGAAAAATCGGGGCGTTACAAAGTGGTATCAGAGCCAGGTTATCATATCTTATATGGGTCATGTGGGAAGTGAGACTATCAGCTTTCGGTGTAGGTATAGGAGTTTAAAATGTACGAAGTAAGTCAACCAATTCCCATTAGACGAAAGTATAAATTGGAATTCATATCAAAATTTTGGGTCATATAGTAAAGAGTGGAAAAAGATATCAGAGTGCGTAGCGAATATTTGTGTAATGTATTAATACTTATTTTACTCTTAAGGTTAGTATCGAATTTCGGGGACGAAATTCTTTTTAAAGGGGGTAGATTGTGACAACCCGTATTAAAAACAATTAATCTCTAACATGTAATTTAAGTAGTTAATTATGATCTTTTATAGTTAATGATCATTTTTAGAAATTTCAAACGAACAAATAAACTTCAAATATAATTTTTTTTATGTGAAAATAAGTTTAATATAGGTCATATTTCGTATTAAAAATAAAATGTGCAATACATTACATATAAAACATATGTGAATACATGTATAGAGATCATAATAGACATGTGGTTTATTAGAATTAAAAATAAAAAACGAAAAGAAAAGAAGACAAGGTCAGGAAATGGACGGCTGTCCATGAGAATCCTTGGAGCCCAAGTAAATCTTGGCTATAAAATAGCCAAGCTCAGTACATTGAACGGAACAAGGAAATTGAGAGAAAGAGAGGAAGAAAGGAAGGGAGAAAGAGAGGAAAGAGGGAAAAAGGGTCAAAAATTTTGTTTACCTTAAGAGTTTGCGGTTACGATCAAAATTTTGGGTAAGATTTTTTAGTTATTATTTGGTAAATATTATATGTTTGAGTCACTTAAAGTTGATCTTCATTAAATATTTTTGGATCAAATTTAAGTATTATTATCTTTCGTTAGTTTTTCCAAAAATTATTTTAGGTTAATTAAGCCCTTATTACCTATTGTTATTCTAAAATATTATTTTGGTTATTTTGTCACAGTACACGGTATCGAATAGAAGTAAAGAAGAAGGTAGGGTTTCTTTTATCTTTTACTATCATTGATACATTTTATGCATATTTGGAGGTTTCATATCAAATCTATTTTTAATTATATAATGTAATATTATATCATGGGGTCAAACTGGGGTTTTATAAATAAATCGTTATCATGCACAAATTGTATTTTTTTATCGAGACCCTAATTATCTCATGAAACCATGTTGCATAATAAATGTCTATTTCATTATTAATATTTAATGTTTAATTTACTGTGAGGTCTGACTACGATATGATTTTATTTTGTGATTTTGATGAAATTACTATCAATGCATATAATCGAGAGCAGAGGGTTAGCAGATGCGTGATCCTTGCGAGGATTCACAGGATTCCTACTAGTCCTTGGGTTCACTGGTTAGTAATATCGGTTGTCGTGGTAGCCTATGTGGCACCACATAATTTTCGATATTGGTGTTTCCAGAAAAGCAAAAGGGGTATTGGGTTCCCTAGGGTGCAAGACCCCAAAGTTTTCTCCGGAGGCGATTCATGTGTGGACCAGAAAATTAATGGATTGATATGATCGATATGTGCTAAAATTTATTTATTTATTTGATTCATTATTTTGCCCTATTCCTGCATTTATTCGCGGTTTAATTATATTATTCATTATTTTAAAACCTTGGTAGTCATTGATAAACTTTATCCTACTGAGCTGGTGAACTCATCCCTATTTAACATTTTTCAGATATATGAAGTCAAGCTGGAGGATAGGCTGAAAGGATAGAGTCTGCTATTATTATTTTTCTTTATGTTGTATCAAGAATATTTGAAATGATCTTGTGAGGATTATGTACTCGTACGTACAATAAAATAATATAAGGAAGATTATTGTAAGTTCGGTGTAATTTTATTCCTTACTCACACCCGGGTATTTTTTTTTAAAAGGAAACAAATTTCGGGGTGTGATAGAGTGGTATCAAAGCCTGGAATTAGATCTTATATGGGAATTATATATATAGACTAAATATTGGGATTAATGTACTAATACTGAACATTTTTTACAGACATATTATTTTTTTTTATCAACAGAACTAACTTTTTATGACTATAGGTATGACATCTTTGGATGATCTTTACATGGCTCACAGTAACATGGGCTCCGAGGCAGCTAGTGAATACCGAACTCTTAGAGTTAATATAGAGGCCTACAATTTAATAGTCCGCAAAATTCAAGATGTGTCCCAAAATTGGTCATTCATGCCGATCTCTGAACATAAAAGGTTAGTACATTACAGACTGACCTCACAGCTGAGGGTGCTCCGCCAAGCACTAAGTATTGAAAGGAATCCCAACCTGTACCAGGAAATTCTGAATGGATTGCCAGTACAAGACATTCAGTGGCCACCTACAGGGGCTCATGAGGGATAGCCAATAGAATCCCCTAACTTGGATAATAATGAAGAATATGACCCACAACCTCACGACCCCAACGTAGCCCCTGTAGCCTCACGACCCCAACGTAGCCCCTGTAGCCGCACCACCCGAAGCAAACCATCGTGCAGATTCTGTGGGTTCTGCGAACTAATGTGACTCCAAGGGGGAGGGACATGAAACTTCTTGGTCCCTAGTTGTACTGTCGGCTTTACTATTCTAAGAAATTTTGCTTGTAAATAGTATTAACTCTTAGAATGGTAGGAATATATGTACCACTACATAACTTAGAGGTGACTGTCCTAGACTTTTGTTCTCCATGTGAATAGCATCTAGGATAAGAAACGAAATGTATCTTAGTTACTAATTATGTGAAATTAGAGTTGTTTTCTTAACCTTTGGATGTGGTTATAGTTTTTAATGCAGACATAATATCATAAACTATGTGTTATAGGATGGAGGGAAACACATCTCAAGACCAACCAGAGATGTCCATCAATGCCTAGTCCCCTCCAGCAGTGCAGGACACTATAAGTGGTATTTACCAGTGTCTGAGAGAACTGACCACTGTGGCACGCCAACAAGCAGAAAATAACAATCATAGTACGGTAATACAACCAACAGTTCAGGAACAAGCAAATGTGGCTGAAACGCGAAGAATGATGATACTCAAGGAATTTCTACGACAACGTCCCCCTACCTTCTAGGGAAGTACAGAGCCACTTGATGCAGATAGGTGGCTTCGACAAGTGAGAAAAGTAATGGATGGTATGGATATTGCCCCAAAACTACGAGTTACCTTGGCCACTTATCTTTTTGAGGGTGAAGCCAA